ACCAAATGTATGCGTCCTGTGGTACAACACAGCACTCATTGTAAACACAGGTCTTCTAGTATGACATTTCATGACACATCTCTATAGCCAATTAATTCTTCCTATTTATGCATGCATGAAAACCCGCAAAGGTTCGCTTAGTGCAATGGTTAGAGGTGCCCTACAACATGAAAGTGTATTTCTTAGCTTGATCCCCTTTGTTGGCAAACGAAGCGCTTACCCGAACGGTGCTGGAAAACTGCTACCAGCATTGCCTAGGAGGATAAGTGCAGTGACTGGATACATTGCTAGACCCTTGTATTTCACTGAATAGGTCAAATATTCATCATAACCTCTACAATGCTTGATGGGCTCGAACGCATGTCTTATTTCTTAGAGACTGATCTGCGCCAAACATATTATTTCTACTTTAATCACCAGAGGAATGCTAAGGACTTTACGAGGATCATCTAGTTTCAAAAGAATTTTTTTCCTATACGCCGCTTTTCTTGTACCGTCCTTCTGAATAGCAATATGACAGGCAGCGAGCTCCAAAAGTTGACAAGCGTTGAGCGCGACATGGTGGCCGGTTGTTCACCTATTCGATCGACCAACATCGAATAATTTTTACAACGTCAATCTTCTATTCCTTCTAGAGGGATCTAAAATCGCCTTTGGCACGACCTAGACAAACCATAAATGAGCCACGTACTTTCGCACACTGCTTCGTCCATGTGGCTGCTACATTGTTCTTGTTTGCTTCTCACCTAGTAATGTATTCATTAGCCGAAAATAAACATCATTATCAACCTCGTGTAAGCTCATCAAAGAAAGAATACGTATTCATTATTGAGTTTATCAATTCTATGAATTTCAAATACTTTTTTAAGTTGCGACGATATGCACTGATTTCGATGCACACGTGCCCTAGAGCAGTTGAGCGTTTCGTCTTCAAACAAACATATCTTGGTTCATAGTGAGCTCCATCAGCTGAATTGAAAACCATTAGAATCCACATATCATTGCCAACAAAACTCACCACTTTTCTAACTTTACTGCGTCGGAATTCTAATTTCTTGACACTCTACGCAACTTCCAAAGAAGCCCATTTTTGAAGCGCTGAGATGATTGAGCAATTGGAATGTCGTAAAACAGCCCCTTTTGGTATTACTAACATTTCGCTGATGTTTGTAGCTATCAAGCTTGAGTTAAGAATTTCAAAACTATGAATTCCCATTTCAATATGAGCTTTGAACAGATCTAGACATAGAATAACACATTAGAAAGTGATACGGCTCCTTCTATAAGCCTACAAAGTCGTTATCATCTCAAGTACTCTGATTATCCACAAATCGATGGCAGTTGTCGAAAAACCATCTTTCTTGCAAATGGAATGAACTAGTTTCTCTATTGTTTCATTGGCCTTTACACAACTGTGCGTACAGATGTGTCTATGTGAAAGGCAAAAGTAGGATTCTTATGGAATTCAATCGTTTTTTTTTGAAGAAACTACTAATCGGCCTTTTTATCTCAAAAGTTTAGAAGAAAGATTTAATAGAACTAACCAATTTAGTATTGACACCCCTATACGTAACTTGGAAAAAAGAAGAAAACCATGTTACAGGGCAACTAAAATCATTTCATGAATAGAATTACACATGAAAGAATACTGTAGACTTACAAGTGGGTATAGCGAAGTAGTTAGAGGTGCATCGCAAAATACACATGGTCGTAGGTTCGATCCTGCTCCCCAAAGTAGTACTCTTTCTTTCTAGGGTCGGAAAATTGGTAGCAAACTTTTCTGGGAGAATAAAAACACTAATTTCATGAATCCCACAACTCATGATTATTTCTACGACGCTTAATGGAGTCAAATCCATGGCGCATTCTTAAGAGATTGATCGATGGCAAACACTTTGTTTTCTACCTTTTTCACAGTCGGCAGATGTAGTCACAACATGTGGCTCATAATGTATTGTTTTATTTTGCATATCCAGTGAGCGCGTTCACATGGACGATGTCAAGTGCCATATGAAGGATCTATGACGCGAAGTTTTACATGGTTCATCCTCAACTACATGTTAGGGATTTAGACATGTACCAAAAACAACTATATAACCTTCAGTTTCATGAAGTTCTTGCTTTTCCTGTGCTTGACTGCTCTTTACTTTTCCTTACATATGTATTCGCACTGGTGATAGTCGAACAACGATAGGGGTTCATTCTCATGGTAGGGTCACTAAAACAGAGAAGAGTTCAACATTTTTATCCGGAAGCTTAGTTACGTGAGTTACTGGTAAACCTATGCCATACAGAGCTCCCAGGAAGGCAACTTGTGGTTGTGTTCTCATCGAAAGCCGTAAAAAATAAAACACCATGCAGAAACTGTGACCATCTTCGTGTCTCAAGTAAGCTAAACCTACTAGGAGCCCTGGCGTGCAACGGGACGAATGAAGTTTGGTGGTCTCAACTGGAATTATTCGGTGATCAATGTGATTACAACTGATATAGATGATGGGTGGGAAGCTTGTTTGCATGCGACTTTGTCACGCGGATCTATTAGGCCAAACGCCTGCAATGAAGTTACTAAAGAAAGTACATTGGAGGAGACTCGTTGTCGCATCCAACAAATAGTCCTCATGTTTACTCCAATAGGGCCCGACATTATACCTCTTAGGACATACGTTCCTCACGGCATAGCACGACGAAAGTTGCTGTCATCTCATAAAGTACATTAAACTTAGGCAGTGTCATATAATAAGCCATTGTGTTCCTTGAACGAGTGAATCTCACTGGATAGGCCTTCACTGTTGCCGGTTCGATTAAAAAAAGCGAATATGGATGATTTTCTGCCGAATAGTGAGGAAGGCGATGTTTTTGCAAAATCCATCGCAAATTTGAACCTTGTATAATGAACTCCTTATAGTAGTAGTCGTTGGCATTCTAAGGGAATCAAACAACTGATTCAAACCAACTCTTTGCCCATTTCATCAAAATTAGCCCCATTTTTTATACCATTTATGGCCCAGTTGAAATATGCACCCACACTATGTACGTTATTTTTTTTCTTCTTCAGATTCATAAGCACAGGTTGGCGAAGAAGTGACTGCGGTTTCGCACCGTGATCGTTATAACTAGGGCTAAAAATACCTTTATTACAACAAATAAGATTTATTTATCCTGATAGAAACTAAAGTTATCAAAGCGGCGAATTTTCGGAACACATTTAGTGATCGCCGTTAAGAAACTTGCCATTATTAGGTTAAGAATAAAAACGAAGATTTTTTGATCGCATTGTGGCATACGATGAAAACTTGGTCCTATATGGCAACGGACGAGCAGTACTTGTACTGATATGAAAATTCTAAACACCTTCGGAAGCAGACAATAAAAGGCTTATAACCGTGACAGCAGGATTCATCCACTCCAACTTTCAGTACTGCTAGAAATCGTCGAAATGTAGGAAGTACTACAACATTTGGAATCAGTATACTGCTCAGATAAAACATCAAACGATTCACTGCATAACTAAAGCTGCAGGAGTTCAACAAGTTAACTTAGAGTATTCTGCCTTTATCACTGTACTCATTGAACATCTCTCTAACCAATCATCACTTTTTCTAAACATCATGGCAGCTACCACTTGAAAGAATCTTCGACAACCGGACCTCTGTTCAAAATGCCTTCGAAAAAAATCGTCAATTTAAGAACTTCAGATGTTTTGTTAGCAAAAGTATATAGTAAAGTAAAAGTGTACACTTTAACGATGCTGGAGATATTTGCAAAACTACGGACCGCTAGTGTTTGCGGTGGGAACCGAACACGCTATTACCCTTTCCGGGGGCTAACGCGTTCAGCATCACACCATGCGAGCCCTTCGTTTCTGCTTTTTATCAGCCATATTATTAACCTTATGACGATATTGTTTACACTTCATTAGTTCTTTTTTCGATTGATCAATTTCGTTTTATTACGGTTATAAAGATTTGAAGGTCACGGTCCGAAACTTATATGCACCCAGTTACTTTTTTCCAAAATGTTCCAGTTTTGTTCGTTTATAAATGTATCAACTCTTCACTCGAATAAAACCGAACTTTAAAAGACCAAGAGTAATCCGGAGTCAATGTAAAAAATGAAAAGTGAATTCCACTAGGTATGGAAACAGACTTGCGGCAACGCGAACAGACGACGGCGAAGAATGAGGAGCAGAATCATAACATGAGATCGTTCAAGAATCCTCGAACGATGGACTTCAAGGCAAAAAAATTTGAGACGAGAGAATCACTGCTCACGTAAGACTTCTAAATTATTCACACTAGAGTGTCTTTCCAAAGTAATCTCTAAGTCGAATATTCGAACGGTAGATAGCAAGTAGAACATTGGAAAAAACATAAATATAGCATACTGAGCACTTTGAAGTAATTCGACCTCATTTATTTCGAAGCAACTACTGTATAAACTACTGGTATCAATTCAATGCGGGAAAAGGACTTGAGAGGTGAGACGGACTGTGTTTGCTCGTACATAAATGCGGGTCAGCAGTTAGGTTAGGAATAGATTACTCTTCGCTTTCATTTCTATAGCAATCATAATCACTTGAGAAAAAATTGTGAATGAAAACAGCACAAAGACAAGAGTTACAGTGAGCATGATCTTGTGATAAAATAAAAAGGAAAGTTAGGCAAGAAAATCCATTACCTTCTAAGAAGTGCCTGGATACCGGAAAAATCTGTGTTCACGAAAAATTATAGAGATCCTCGTAGAATCTCCATTTGGACAATGTTTCTGTAATTCAGTAGAATTTATCCACTGGAATTACAAGATATTCGTCCCATCGCGTACAAGTATTGTCACCACGAACACCCCTTCCCACCTTCCAGGCTCTTCCAGGCACTATAGGTCGAGTTCAATACCCAGGATCAGGTTAAGCCGCTGAAATGTTAGTAGGGCATGAACCAAAGATAAAATACTTAGGAACTGTGATGAACAATTTGAAAAAGATACACTAAGAGAAAAACTCATTTTCGTTGCCACCACAATTTGGCGCGCCTTTCTCAAACAATAATTCACTCATGTGTAGTGACCATTCCTAGAACTGCCACCCCTAAGTAATGTGGAAGAAGAAGGCGTCGGAGAAAGATTCGACAGGGTGTTTTAGAGACAATAAGTGGAAAGACCGCTCTCAATAAACATCTGCATCAATAACCAATTGTAACTTGTTTTGAGAGTTGTTCTGCAGAAAAAAAATAGTTAATTCGACTAACAATTTTTTACAGAGTGCTTTTTCAAGAGAGTCAAGAAATCCGTGTGATATACAATTTGTTCGCTGCCATCTTTGTGTTGTTCTTCCTTAGAGCTTTGATCGATGATATCTTTACACATGGAATGTAAGTGTTTACTTTAGTTTTCTGTATGACCTATTTCCGGTCACCCGTAGCGCAATTGTCCTTTCCGGGGAGTAACGCGTTCACCACCACACCATAGCTGAGAGACAGGCGAAACGAAGGACCCGCATGGTGTGGTGGTGAACGCGTTACTCCCCGGAAAGGATAATAGCGCGTTCGTTCCCCACCATAGACACCTGCGGTCCAGAGTTTTGCAAATAACTTAGTTTTTGCTTCGACCCAGCGCCGCGGGGAAACTCAGCCCTCTAGGAATATTGGTACCACTTATCTGGGAGAATACGAACATTGGAATGGTATATTGGTGAGCCTATAAATTCAGTGAATCGGTCAAATATGCGTTCAATTACGTCTACTATAAATGAAGTTGGGTGGAGATGGCTGAATGCAGAACACTTTATCTTTGTGATTTTATTCACTATGATTGGACCTATTGCAGGCCATTTCATCATTTCTGGCTGGTCGCATGGAATTTCGAACAATTTCCAGCGACAATGTTCGTATGGTTATCAATGTTTCTCTCAACTTTTGTACCTTATACGGCATTTAGAATATGGGCGTACATTCCAACAAAAACGAACAATTTCAGAATGGTAAGAAATTTCGAAAAGTCTTATTCCTGGAGAGATTTCAAAAGCAGCAGTTCCAAAATCACATCCCCGAAAAAATTCAGTGCTTATCTTTTCAGGTTCCTATTCTACTCTTCTACGCACTTTACTTAGTGGCGTTTTTCTACTTTCCACTAAGATTTCTGTTTTCTCGCCAATTGAACTGTGCTTGTTCATTCATCATCACATGCGAAACAGTGGGTAGTTCATGGTCTTTATTAACACTTAACTGCCTTCCAAAATTCTCCTTTATATGTCGGGTTCACTAACCAAAATTGGTTGATGTGACGCCTGTAGATTTCACAAACACCACTACTCATAATTAGTGAACTATGCAGAACATTCTTCTTAAAATGAAAGAATGAAGGAAGGAATCATCCGAACTCTACTTAATTATTACCAGATTACTTAACTTGAAAAAACTCTGTGGAGGTTGAAGACCAAAAAAACTTCGAAGAGATGATAAAATTTCTGCATAACAAACTCAAAGCGGTGTGTATGGATTTCAATGCGCACGGTGCGAGAACAATGACCGTCTTCAATTTTAGCCAACATATCTTATCTCATAATGAACTTTATTAATTCCAATAAAAGATTCTACAAATTATTCCCTACAAGATGCAAGTTCTCTTATACCAAGTTTAAACTATATTTTCTGAAGCCTACAAAACGTTTGTTTCAAATTTCTTGCGTCAGAGCTCGGAACCCGAACAACAAAGCAATCGAACGATCGGGATTTCGTCCAGCAAGACGTGATAATTTTCCTCAATGCACCGTTGTTTATTGTGGCTGCCAAGTTTGTGTGGAAAATCTTAAAAATTCAGAAAAATTTCAGAAAAAAGAACTGAAACAACATCTTCTAAAAAATTGTATAGATCCATAAGGCAATAAAGCCTCTTCTATAAGAAAGTCTCCTACATGCGTGTGTAAAGTCGTCATCTCCTTCGCTACGCTGTTACCGGGGAAATTATTCACAGTTGTCGAAAAATCAGCTTCATCGTTAACTACGATTATTGCCAAGTAGTGGAATAAAATAATAAGTCAGAATTGTTTGACCACAGGGCTTCCGATAAAAATTGAAAAGGAAAGAAAAGCAAGTACATTGATTTCCGAACAATTACCAATTTTCCCTCTTAGGTTTGAATTCTATGTTAATTTGAAAAAGAAAATCTACTTGGTGATTTTCAGTAATCCAGAGTGTTCGAGGAGTTTAGGACTTAATTGAATTACAGAGGAGACTTTCCCGCATTGCTCTTACACCAGAAATAATTTTCCAAAGTGCTCCTTTATTTTAATTTCCTTCGCAATCGAAATTTAATGCAACATTAAGTTATGCAGATTCTAAGGTTATCTAACCCAATTTAAAGAAGCACATTATTATACATAGCTATTTAGTTATACTAAAACGATCACGTATGCGTTGAAATCAATACATGTGACTGCGAATGTGTTAAAAAACGATAGAGATTCAGTGTATCTAAAATCTCTACCAAGTGTATCTAAAATCTCTACCAAGTACTGGTAAAGCGACAATCCACGTTTAAACGAACACTGTTTGAAATCCAAAAAAAATCTGAAGGACAGTAAGAACACAGGGATAAGGAACACACAAATAGGTTCTAACTAATATACAAACACAAAATGAAAAAAAGAACTCCGCATGGAAAAAGATTACTGTAAAATCTGAGTTTTATACCTAATACCAATCTATCAAGCGTACTCTAAGACCTTCGAGTTGATTTCTTGACAAAAACACCTAACTGGATAACGCTGTTGTGAATTTAGCACCCATTATAAAAAAAAGTGAGCCCCTTCAACTGAGTTATTTTCTTTCATGTCCCTATGTTTTTCAGTAGCTAATTGGTTTCTAATACAATTTCTTGTTTTACCGAGCCTTTTTATCTTCACAACGGTTTTTCTTTCGTTTTAGACTCGCATTGCGATGAAACTTCACTCATTCCTACGCGAGAACCTGCCACGAGCCATCGCGAAAAGGAACAGTGATGAAGTTGTTCAGGTAACAACTTCCCGTGTAAATGATCTTGCCTTTTCTCTTTTTTGTTTAAAACGACAACCCATTCACACCAATTAATTAATCCCTTGAGGATACGCCGTGCATTCGACTTCATTACGGATCGTGGAGGTGATTGCATACATATCCGAGCTGTGCAGTGATTTACGTTGGGTTATTCATGTATCAATTCAACGCTTTTTTCCTTCATAGAAAAATCTGGTAACAATTTGATCTGGGAGCGATGAGGGTGCACGTATGTATTCCAGGGTATCTATAACCATGGTATGACACCAGCCCTTTGTTTTTTTTTCTGTTCACCTAAAATAGCTGGTAATGTGATCCGTCAACAAAAAATTCTGTTGAATTCGAATCTGCACTCCCAACGGACATCGCTGAACTCTTCTCCATCTCTAATAAACAGGTGTTAGACGATTTCGTAACCAGAGATGAAATATCCGACTCTCATACTTCTCTATGTGTTTCCGAACAAATATCATAGTGAGCATAATTCTCTCTATGATTACCTTAAGTGCCTGAATATCGTGTGACGAACAAACCCGAATTGTGAGCAAGTAATTTAGCTTATTGATGACAGCATTCATCTACTCGCGTTCTACGAGACCGATTCACCACAGAACGACTGCATTTATGAAGTCCTTTCCCACATGGTATATTTTCACATCCCACTTCATCTGGTTCTCGAGAACCCTCCTCAGGAGGAAAATATTGGCAATCGGTTATCGGCCGAGAACAGTATCAAGAAGCTCTACATCTCTCGTCCACGTAGGTTTCGAGGAATGAGTCTTCGAATGCTTCCAGATGCTCGAAAGCTTGTCATAGACATTTGATAAACTAATTATTGTAATTGATTCTAGAAGAATTATTTCGGAAGCTGTGTTTAGGTTGTAGCAAAACGTTCCAATTCAACCTATTATGTTGCCTAATATGATCCTAATTTTTAGAAGTCGCTAGGGTGGAAATCACGAATCGAGATCACTCGGGTGCTTTGGCTTCTCCAAAGTTCTCACCGTATGCACAAATTCGTTCTTCATAAGCAGGAAGCTAATCGGAAACCATTAGTCTTTTAATCTTTTTGACTACTTTTCTGGCAAAATGATCACCATTCATCGAGAATTAGTTCCTATTGAAGGTATTCAGTAAATAGATAAATATATATATACATAGAGAGAGAGAGAGATTTAGTACGAAGTCATTGGCGGGCGACTTGATCCATTAACAACGACACTGCTATGGTGGTACCAAATAGACATCTTCTTCCACATATAAGGACATGATGAAACGCTAATTTCGTCTAAACCTCCCTTTTGAAATTTTGACCGATTCTGGATTTCTTTCCAGTAACATTTTCTAACCTGCTAATGACATTTCAGATAAAATTTTTGTAACGCTTCTAGATGCGGACCACTTCGTACGAATTCTCAAAGTTATTTAACTTGGACTTTTTCTCCTCAAATTTTGAAGGTTAGAGAGCGACAATTAACGACACTGATTTCATTCTGAATTGAAAGACAAGACGAAACGATTTTCTCTATTTCGACATGAAAAAATTGTTGATAATATCTAAGGGGACCTAATGACGCCCCAGACACTTTAAACATTACCGAGTTTTTCTTTGAAGATAACGAACGTTCCTTCATTAAGTTACGATATTTCGGCTCCCATCTTCTTATCAAGCTAACAACCAATCGTGGGATTAAATATAATGCATGACATAGAAAGAAGTACGAGGATATGTATCTGGAAATACAGCTTTGATGTTCTAGGTTTAAAACGTGGGGCTGACTTAGTGAGGTGTCCATCTGTCGCAACCTGAGATTCCGACTCCCAAGTCTCATGTGTTCAATGTCAGATATAAAGCGCCCAGAATGCTGGTTACTGGGATCGGTTTTAATCCCTTTAAGTGGACTCATTTTTTTTCTTTGGAATTGTTGGGCTAACCTAGCACTGCGCTCCTAAATTGTTACCAGTCCTCACCCTTCGTGAAGCAGAAGAAAGGCACGTCAGCGGACGAATACGTTTCTTCAAAGGCCACAATTTCTAATATATATATATATATAGGGCGCAAGTGGTTGGCCGCTGCGACACACGTGAAATCGATCCCCGCGCCCATGGCCCACCAAGCCTTCCATCCCTCCGGGGTGGAGAAATTAGTACCAGACTTGTCTCGGAGGATAGGAGCACTGGCTCGATTCGATGCATCAGTAGGCCACCGCGAGTCATTGTAAAGTTCAGATATGAATTTAATCACCTCCAACGATACTAAATGAAGCCGAATGCATGGCGCATTCCTCACGGATTGATCAACACCGAGAGCTTTTATATACATATATATATGTATGTAAACATATATATGTATATATATA